GCCTGGCGCAATATGGTTCATGGGGTCACGAAGAGTCGGACACGACTTAACAACTAAACAACAACAAAAGTCAAATGTTTGTCTTAGTATATAGTATATAAAATGGGGGATGGCATTCTCCTTCCTCAAGCTGAGAAACTGCTAAAGCCATGCACTGTTTTCATGAGCATTACAAAATAGTGTGTGCGTTCGTTATTACAAACCATTGTATTTAACTCAAATTTTTAATATAATAGGCTTTATAGCAGTCTGTAAGTATGAGTTATCCATAAGTTGGAAGTTCTCAACCTGCGGACTGCCTGTATATTTTAAGGCATCAGCCTAATGAGAAAATCTTCAGACATTTAGAAAAATGCCTATCTTTAAAATGGTTCTGTTACTAGATCCCCATCAGGATTCCAAAAGACTGGAACAGACCAACATTTAATAGCCCTGGGAAGGAGAAGTGGGGAAGATGCTTCAGCTGTATGTTTAGAGGTGACAAGGCTGCCTTAGTGCTTGAATTCTGTGGGTTGAACTTCCCATTAATCTCTGCAGCTAGTGTGGGTCAAGAAGGTGGGAGGCAAAAAATGAGGATGGGTGTGGCAGAAACCAGTGGCAGAGGAGAAAATGAGTACAGTATTGCCACATGTCTAACAGTCTGATTAATAAGAGGTAAAGCAGCTACAGATGTAGCCAGTTGGGCTGTTGGCATTTATGGGGCTGAGAGAGGTTGACCATTAAACAGTGGCCCATACTTTGCAGACAGAAATTCCTTGATGAGGTGTTTGGATATAAGAGGCTTTAGCTTGAGATCTCCGTGAATGATGCCTTTCAGTGGAGAAAGATGGATTAAACAGCTTTAAGTAGGATATAAATATGCATGACTTCATAGGATCTAAGACTGGTGTTTTAGCATTTTATTTCTTTTTTCCTACCCTCAAATGCAGTGAAAGAAGAAAAGACACAGATTTGATATAATAGCACTGCTGAAGAATCTAGCCTCTCCTTGCAGACTGTTTTTAAAATTAATGTCCCTGACTACCTCCAGCTGTTTTTAATAGAGGCAAGGAAATATAGACATTTCCAGGAAGCAGGGATGGAAGTGAAATGATTGAAATGAATTTCCAGGTTAAACCTGATCTTGCATTTGTCCCATCTCACTCATGTATTTTATGGGGCATTCAGAAGATCTTGTCTTCCCATACTTATGTTCTTCTTCCATCTTATTTCTTGTCACAAGATAAATGATGTGAGTGTATATGCATAAAAGCTTTCAGTTAGTAATATTATCTGACAGACATTTTTCTGGTCACAGCTCTTCCAGATTACTAGCACGTTGAGCACCTGCATAAGGGAGCTTAATTTGTTCAAATTTACCTATTGAACACTAAAAACAGCCTGTTGCCACAGAGAAATTAATGTGACAGGTTTCATGGGATGACGGGTGGAACAAATAGACCCAGAGTACTATTTCCAAAGTTTGGAATGTTTGCTCTAAGGGTTTCCTAGAGACAACTTGAAAACAGCTGATGACATCCACTTGTTCTATCATATCTATGTTATAATTTGCATCTTTGGTTGAGTGTCATGCATGTTTTTTGGTTGAGTGAATGGTGTTTATTTTGCTTTGAACTAGGGGTTTGCACAAACTGGAAAATGTGTTTTGTTTTGTGAATAAAATAAATACATTATTGCCCAGAAGTTCAGCCAAACTATTCTGGGCAGGTCACTGTTTGGCTGAGCCAAAGCTCAGAACATTTTGGTTTCAGGTTTTGGCTAAGGTGCAACCTTAGCCAAAACCTGAAGGTCTTACAAGGCAAGTTGAATGGGGCAAGGCTGATCCTCTTTCTTTCTGTTGGTCTCTTCCTGTTGATCGCATATCCAACCAGCACAGCCATCCCTTCCCAATCTTTCTAGTACCTTTCTTCCCCTTAGTACTGCTGATAGCCTTATCTTTCCTCACTGTCTCCTGTCCTAGAACGCCTCTGCCCAGAACACGTGTGTGTTGAACCATTGCCTGGTTGGCACATGTTGTTGGTCCAGGCATGGACCACCCTAAAACGCTATTCCATGCATAGAATGTTTTGCACATCCCTACTTTGAACCTAGCGAACCTGTTTTGCCAAGTTCTGAATGACTGGACTTAGTGATTCTGCTGAACGACCTGCATTGTTTCTTTATCCATATAGTTCCCATAGAGAAGTAGCCCCTACTGTTGTTATATTGTTATAATTTATGGCTTTGGATTGAACACAATGATAAGTAGGAGAAATCATGATTCAGTCATATGGCACCAGATTAAAATATTGATATTTCCAGGGTGATAGGATCTTCCAGAGAGGTCTTACCAGTTAATATGTGTCTATGTATGTGCTCTAAACATTTGGTATGTCTTGGATATGTCACAAGAAGATACACAATGTTGCTTGCTTTTGATATCCATTTTCGTTGTTTGACCTGTTTTAGCACTGAAGCTGGGGGACTTAATTAGGTGGAATGAATTAAGTAAAACATTCTCATTTTATTGGAAACTTCCTGATACATTTCTATTTGACTTCTAAATATAATTTGCCAACTCTGAATTGTCTGCAAGGGTTTTATGTTGCAACCTATTTTGTTGCTTAAAAATGCATTGAGAGAGTTGTTTTCATTCCACTGATACGTGTCAAGGTTCTTTCCTTGTGTCCTCTGTATGATGAAAACTGGATTCATGCATTGTTTAATCTATAATATGATTTCACTGGCTTATTTTATTGAGTGACCCCAACTCAACCATCCATGGCTTTGGCGCAAGAATGAACTTTAAAAATAGTTAAGTTTCTCATCAGCTATCTTAAGGGTCTATTTATTCAATCAATAAAAGATACATTTTCCCCATTTTCTCATTGTTGCTACCGATGGGAGATTGCTTCAATAAAAGCTCCTTCATCACCTAGCTCATTCACCTAGCAAACTTTTTTATGTGCATATTTTGAATCCTCACACTTGCATTTTGAAATGATGCAGCTCAAGGACTCTATTTGATTCTGCTGAAAGTAACTAGATGTACCTGATGAAATGAAAATATTAGCTGCATTGCAAAATTCTCAAATTGAGCATTTTTCCCAACAAAATTGACACATTATTATGTCAGGTACTCTTTGCGTTTTTAAAAAGAAAAAGGGTGTAGCATAAGGCCAAGTCTGGGATTTACTGAGTCCTTCTATATGTTTCCTGAACATTTCAAATGTTTATTTTACTAAGTGACAGCAAGCATCTTTCTGTCTGGAGTTACTGACTACAGAACAGTTTTGACTATTTTTTCAACTTGTTTTCAACGGAAAGCCCCCCCCCCCCGAGTTCTTTTGTATTTCCACAACACAGGAGAAACTCAAGAATAGGCTCGATTTTCAATTTGGTTCCACCAAAATGTATTGGACTACAATAGGATTGATCTGAGCCAACTTGTCCAAAGGATGTTTATGTCCTATGAGATTTTTAAAAAATGAATACATTGTGATTGTTGTTGTTTTTAAACTAGATGATGAGCCACCTAAAGCTAAAGCTTGGAAGGATGTGAAAGTACAGCCCAATGAATCAGTAATGTTGAATGGTTCAGCAAGTTCTGATGACAACGGGATTGTGAATTATGAATGGACTCTTCTTTCTGGTGATTCCTCAGTGGTAATGGAGGTAAGGCACATCAACTGTCTACTAAAATTCCCTTGTGTAGCACTTTTAGAATCTCCACTTAAGCCAAGGTAGCCATATGGGCTATAAGAAAAAAATTAAACTTCAGATTATCATTAAGCTAACAGAAAGATTATAAAATAGTTGATGATTTTTTTAATTCTCTGGAATCAGCATGACCTTTTAGTAGAGAATATGATACACTTGAGATAAGGATTTTATTATCTGATAGTACATTCTATCCAACAGGTAAGGCTGTCTTTACCTCTTCAAGTCCTTTGGATCTTTCAGCAGGATCTGATACCACTGATCATGGACTACCTGCAAGGTTGAGAGCTGGGGACATTATGCTTTTGTGGTTTCACTTGTTTCTGAATCGACAGTACCAGGCAGTGGGTGGAGAGAGATTGGCTCAGTGGGCTGTGGGTCCTGCAGGGCTCTCTTCTCTCACTCTGCTGTTTAACATCTACTGTATATGAAACTACTAGGAGGTGATCTGTCAGTTCAGATACCAATGGTGAAATGCCATTGATACACCCGGCTGAACCAGAATGACATAGTAGATAGATTTAATAATTTGCCCTTTCTGTCATCTTAACAGTTACAGTCTAGATGCTGCATATCACCTGGAGCTTCAGTTCTCTGGTTTTAGCACCATATGGGCAATTTAATGAGCTACTTTCTGCCCATACATTTTCTGTCTCTGTCTTAAGCTTTTTCTATTTCTACAACCATAGAGAGAGGGAGGAGGAGACAGAGAGAGAAATAAAAATGGGTAGGTGGGTGGATGGACGGATAGACAGACAGACAGACAAGCTAGGCTCTTTTTTAAAATAAATTCTTGCTTCCACCTTCTACACGGAGGGAATTAAGGAGAATGAAGCTAGCCTGGTGATTGGACAGGAGTCCAAGAATCTGGAACTGAGGGCCATTAAACTCAGTAGGAGTTACTGTAGATAATCATGCATGTGTTCCTTTGTGTTTGCTGACACAAAGGAACCTCTAATGACTTCTATTGACCCATTTTCTTTCTCTGTTTTTCTAAATAGACTTGTGTATATAGGGAGTAGTTCTGTGACATGATTTGTTTAGATGAAGGATCACTTAAACTTACAGATGGAGCCACCAGAATATCATTTTTCAGACCCATCTGAAAGGCACAGTACAATATGCCTGCCCACTTGTATTACCATTTTAGTGCAACTTTGATGATGTCCTTAAATTTGATTTTGTGACTAATTCATATACTTCAGATTTGGTCTTTGAGTGAGATCTTCAGTACTCACCTCTCCATTGTGTGCTGCATAACTCAAAGCTTCTGATCCTCTGCATCCAGTTTTCTTAGATTCCATACTTTTGTAGCCATAGTTCATTGCTGGTATAACTATGGCACTGAAGGTGTCCACTTTTGCTTTAATGTTTCTCATCTTTTGTAGTATTGCTTTTATGTGGTTAAAGCTGAGCCATGCCACAGTTCTTTGGTGCAATATCTCTTGGTTGATTGTGTGTGCGGGGCACTGGTTTTCTGGCCAAGATAGATGTAGGAATTAACATTCCCTAATATTTAGCTCATTTAGACATTGCTCGGCTTCTTGGATATTGTGTCTGATGATCACAGTGTCATCATCTAACCAGAGGTAGATGAGCATCTTGCTGTCTATGTTGACACCTTTATCTCCTGAGTTGAGCCCTTGAAAAATGTTTTCCTTTGCAAAAGCTAGCTTGCTCTTATGGGTAGTGTTCATTTAAGCTTTTCTTTATTCTGGTCAGTATGATTAGGAGAAGAGCTTTGTTTGTTTGTTTGTTTGTATGAATTTATAGCCGCCCAACTAAATGGACTCTGAGTCCAGTGGACTCAGCTTGTAGGCTAAAGAATAAAGCAGATTGAGCAATAGTTGGCAAGCTTCTCTGGGTCACCTTTTTTGAATACTAGAACTGTCTCTGAAGTTTTCCATTATTTAGGGATGTCATCTGCAACTAGGAAGTCATTAAAGGATTTGATCATCTGATTCACTAGGGCTTCTCTGCCAACCTTGTAAACTTCTAAGATGATACCATCTGGTCCTAGGGCTTTTCTTGATTTTACTGGTCAAATAGCATAGAGAATCTCATCTAGTTTTTGAAGGATGGTAATTTGGAATGTCAGTTTTTGAAGCAAAGAGCTCAGTATAAAAATGCTGGCATTCTTCAGTTTTCTTGTTGTTGTCATCCTTCAAACCCTCTCTTCTGTGGCATTTCCTTCCATGCTTTACAATGCTGTTTCTTGCCTCTGCTGCTTTCACAAATTACTGTTTCTGATAATTTTCATACTCTTCTTTTACTTGTTGCTTTATCTTGTAATTCAGCTTACAGAGGACAATCCTGTCATGCAGATTTTATCCTTTAAGCTGTTTCCTCTTTGCTAAGAGCTCTCTAGTTGTATTGCTAATGTGGGAGCTTCTTCCAGTTTTTTTCTGGACTTCTGCTGTTATGATGAATTATTTTATTTTGATTTTCTTGATTTTTTTCCTTATTGTTCAGTGAGCAATGCATTTGCATTACACTTCCAATTTTATGTCAGGACTTGTTTTTCAAGTAGAATTGCATCTATTACCATATTTCATGAGAATCGTTGTTGAGAGAGGGGTTGTTGAAGTTGACTGTCGTTCAGATTGGCCTGTGGTCACTGTCAATGTTAAGTTAGTGAAGTATTTTGACATTTTTTATTAATGTTATGCCATTGCATAGTATGTAATCAATTTTTTGCCTTGGTTTCCCAGTTAGGAAAATGCCACGTCCAGGCTTCCCTGCTGGCTTCTCAAATCATATACATTTTTGCGACTCAGCAAAGATGGCTAGTTGTTCACCGTTTTAATTTTGCTCACTTGCCTTGAACCCATTCAAGAATTTAGGTCTCCTGTGATGATCTTTTTATAGACTGGCTAATTTAATTGTTCAAGTTCTTTGTAAAAATTTTCAGTTTCATCATCATAACTGCAAAGGGCCCCATTTCATGGTTGTGCAGATACCAGTGTTTTTTTAAGATCGCTTGGCTGTATTTATATTTATATTTAATTTTCTGCATTGTTTTAAGTGATTGATTGTTTTTATTATTGTTAGCCGCCCAGAATCACTAGTCTGAGATGGGTAAATTGGATAAATAAATGAATAAATAACCACTGTAAGGAGCATAGCATTGAACAGTGGGTTGTTTCTACCTTTTATCTTCAATTTGTGTGTTGCAAGATGTGGGGAAACCATTTGAAATTATTATATCTTTGGCACATGTTGGTTGGTAACAATGAAACCAATTCCATCGATATGGTGTGGGCTTTCACGTGTGCCATTATTGTGCCATTTTTTGATTGATGCTCTTGTTTTGCTTAAGTTGATGATGGCATATTTCATTTTTTTTTTTAGTTCTTCCATGCAACCCTGAATCTCCTTCTAAGGTGTAGGAGAGAATCCAGAACTGCCTGTTGAATCCATTTGTTTTACAAAAACAAAACTATTTTAATCAATAGACATTAATTCTGTTAATAATAATTTAACTTTTCTATTTTGGCCTTGCTTGTCTTTTGGAGTATAGCCTGTAACCAATGGGTATATGTAAACATATATAAAAGTGGGTCACAAGTGCACAATGATAAAGTGGAAAAGCTGAGTAATGTATAGAATGGTCTGTGTTTATAACCTTTTTTCCTGTCTATTTTTTTTTTTTTTTTACAGATTTGTCTCATTCAGGGTTGTCTTCCTTTTGGATTAATATGTTAATTCTATCAAATTGAAGTTGGGCCCTTCAAGAAGCACTGAGCAGCCATTGCACTCTTTAAGTCACTGTTTGATGGCAGTGAACAAACTAGTTGATTGTTCATGGATGTATGGTTTGTCTGTAGTAGATAACCTAGCTCTAAGAAAACACTTCCACTTGATGTAGAAGTCTGCACTTCCAATGCCTTTGGAAGCCTTTGCAGGTATGCAAAAGCTCCAACTGCAGATAACTGCACTGTACTTGTGAACAAGTGGCTCTTTCGTGGTGTTGCTAGTGTGACTTAGAGAGGGAAGGAGCTGCTCACTGCTCCTTGGATGTTGAGATCTACAAAGTGATAAGCATTTTGAGAAGGTTATCAACTTCAAAGGCCATAAAATAACAATTTAATAATGTTTTTAATTTATTATATCTTTATTCTTCTCACTTGAATATTGTAAATGTCTCGCTACAAAGACTGCTCTTCCATTGTTTTGTAAAGTGCCTTGTACTGCATGGTAGTAGCATTTATATATGATTAATACAGTTTAGAAGGAACAAAAATGGATCACAGCTATGTGATAAGCTATGAAATATCCTATTTCCTAAATGTCTACAATCAGTCGGTTAGAGAAGAAATGCCATTTTATTTAACTCCTGCTGGATTGTAAATTATTTACTAAGTGAGAGTTTGTAACATTGCTTAGTATAGAGAGAAATAACATGAGATTCATGATCCATTGCACAACCTAAAAGGTTCTAAAGCATCTACATAATTCTGGAAATGTGCTACAAAGAATTCTGAATTTAATGACTCCTTGTATTTATGAATGATGGAACAATAAACATTTACTGTATAATGTGATAAGCAACCCTCAGAATTGCTTAGATAAAAGGCATAACATGTGTAAATGTCCCCAATAGGAAACTTTGCAGTTCTTCATGAAACTTGATTTTTCTTTCTCAGAATTCTTATTATGATTTGCCATAACAAGAATCTTGAAATTTATCTTAAAACTTCAACTTTTAAATAGCAACTCTGAAGAAACCCCAATATTTCTTAGGCTAAAGTGAGGGAGACCAAGGAAACCTGTTTTGCTTAGGTCATCTTTATTTCTGATTTTTGTCTTGCACTTTCAGAAACAGAAAGATTTTATGATGCTTTCAAATCTGAATGAAGGGATTTACATATTCCAGTTCACTGTAACAGATACTGTGGATCAGCAGGACTCAATCAACATCACTGTCACTGTACTTAATTCTGATCAGACTGCGGGTAAGTTTGATGTATGTAGTTCTTTCCTGCTTTGCTCTCTTCTCTCCTGACTCCAATGTGGCCGCACATGGAATAGAATTATTTTAGTAACTGAGGTGACAGGCAGATGGATAGACAGATATTCTGCTCTTTTGATAATGCAGATTAGATCAGTATCTTGACGCAGGAGCCTTAATATGCAAAGACAAATGCAGTTACTTCTTAGCGTCATTAAAGTTCCTCCCACAATCATTTTAAAAACAACAAAAAGCTCTTCCATGTTTTACCCATGAAGTTCATTACTTCTCTGTTTATTTAATTCTTGTAAGGAGCCTAAACCATATAAACAAATGGAGTGTGAATATTTTAAAAAATAATGCTTGTATTGTGTGTTATGGTTTAAAACCAATGATAGCCTTCTCCCACCTAATGGCAGGAAAGACTCTAACCTTTTGTTTGGGAATAGCTGGTCATTTGATTAGGAAACTATAGACTTTTTGACATTCTGCTGTAAGGTAACTTCAAGTAGATCACTGCTCACTGACACGTCGTATTTGCCATTAAAATATATTTAATGATTCTTTTGGAAGAATATTCCTTGACAGCCAGCTCCTCACCTCTCTCTTCCAACTGGCAACCCTATAAAATCTGGGAAAATAGACTAGATCTAATTTGTACCTTCTCCGACACGGTGAGAATTAAATTTCCTTGTTCTCCCTAGAGCATTGCTTGGCTCCTTTTAAAGTGGGACGGTGTCGAGGTTTCTTCCGTCGCTGGTACTACAATCCGGCAGTTGAGCAGTGTCAACGGTTCATCTTTGGTGGCTGCAACTCCAACAAGAACAATTATGTTGGAAAAGAGGAATGTGATCTTGCCTGCAAGAATGTTCAGGGTTTGTATATTAGAGAAGATTGTCTGCTGCTTTATGTTAGATATTTAAGAGAGGAATCCTAATCAATTCAGAATTATTTTGACACAACTGAATCTTATAGCTTTCAGTTTAATTAAGCTGGTTTCAAACCATGCTAATGTTTTAACCATGATTTATTGAGTAAGCCATAGTGGCCCAGATCACACATAACAAAAAACATGCTTTACAATGCACAGTTACTAGGTTCAGTTTGTGAACTCAGCTTGTATATGTTTGACTCAGAGAAGCAGAAAAAGAGAGGCTTCATATTGAACCTTTTCCAAACTGGAACCTTTAGGGTGTGCTGGGTTTGAACCCACAAAAATTCCCACTTAGCAAGGCTGGAGAACATCTGTTAACATCACTTAGCATCTGGAGGACATCATCAGGTTGAAGAAGGCTGAGCCAGGCTATAAAATCAGGAGAACGGTTGTCTTTTTACCAATGCAGGGGAGCATATGATTGGCATTTGTTTGAGTGAAATCTATTGCCTCCACTGTCTCCCTACGTTTGTATTGTAGAAATAATGGGAAGTGGCTTCTATGCATGCTAAGTGCATGCCAGAAGAATAGTAGCTGGCTTAGGGGACATGGTTCGTGGTTTCTGGACTGGCAGTTCTCCAATCCCTAATTAAAACAAAACAAAGCAAAAACTGAATTGGTAAAGTGGTTGGATGGAATGTTTTGATGAGAGCTAGTTGAAAAATTGCTTCTTGAAAGGACAGTAGTCTCACCCCAATTTCCTTCTTTTCAGGTGCTGTTGAAAAACGCCAAGAACCAGGTAAGTTCTTCTGTATATTTCTGTGATAGCATTCTAATTCCTTACTAACTTCCTTAGTGACATGAGGTTTAGTAGTACATCTTTAGCTGGTTTCTTATTCTGTGCTTTTGTAGCATTGCAATTAAGCACTTGCCAGTACTTTTCTATTCTCCAGTTCTGCTGTGCTAAAGGAAGAGAAACATCTTTTTATCTGAATGCCCTAAAGATAATTCATCTTTGCTGAGAACCATGAAAATAACCCATATTTCTCATACAGTGTGCAATGGAAATTGCCTACCCTTCTATTTCAAATGTGACGATGGCTGCTGCATTGATAGTGTTCAAGAATGTGATGAAACTCCAGATTGCCTAGATGGGTCAGATGAGAAACATTGTGATTCATGTAAGTAGGTAAACCTTTAACTGCTTTAGAGTAATAGAAATAGAGATGGAATTGAAGGCCACTGAGTCCAACACTGCTCAGTAAAAGAATCCGAATTTAAGCATCCCAAATGTATGGCTGTCTAGCCTTTGCTTGAACACACTAGAAAAGGGGAGCTCACCATTTCTCTGAGTAATTGGTTCCACTGTTGAAGTGCTTTAAAATTAAAACTGTTTCCTAATTTTAAATTGGACTCTGCATTCTTGTAAGTTAAAACCATTATTCTGAGCCTAGAACTCTGGAATAATGAGAGAATAAGACCCTGACTTCCTTCTGTATGTCAGAATACCATTGAGGTATTTGAAAAATTCTAGTATTTTTTTCTCAAGGCTAAACACTCCCAGTTCCTTCAGTCTTGCTTCACCATTTTTGCCCTTTTCTGAACCAGTTCCAGCTTCTCTAAAGTCTTCTTAAAATGTGCTAGCCTTAAAAACAAACCTCTTTCCATTGGTTTCATAGCACCACAATATAATTTTTTGCCTCAGTTTGATGAGGGCCCAAACCTCATTGGTAGAACATAGGCCTCAAGGACAGCAAGTCTCAGGTTCACTCTGCCAGCACCTCTAGTAAAACATATCTTAAGTAGCAAGTGTTGGGAAAATGTGTCTGGGGTTTTTTTTGTTTTTTTTTAAGGCACTGTATAGAACTGGAAATGGTGCAGGAAATGCTGCCAAAATGAACAAGAACTATGTGGAGTATTGGAGACATTTTCACTTGGGAAAAAGGGTATTAAAAGGAAATACCTTAGGAGCATCCTGTAGTCTTAGAACTTGGATAATCCAATGAAGCTGAATAATGCAGAAGACTCAGGACAAACGAAAGGAATGCTATTTCACATAGTGTATCGTTAACCTGTGGCTAACTATATTTGCTAAAAAGATGCTGCAATGGCCATGAACAGGGATGAGTTTAAAAGGAGGATAAATAAATGAATGCAGGATAAGGTTATGCATTATAAGTAGTCCTCACTTAATGATGCTAATTGGGACTGGAAGCTCTGTCATTAAGCAATGCCGTTGTAAGTTGAAAAACCACATGATCACACCATTTAGCAACAGTAGTTCCAGCAGTCCTGACTGCTGTCGTTAAGTGAGGCCTGCACAGGTCATTAAGTGAGGATCTCACGTAACTTCAACTTGCAGCTTCCTGCTAGCTTCCCCATTGCCTTTGCTTGTTGGAAGCTAGCAGGGAAGGTTGTAAATTGTGATCACATGACTGGAGGGATGCTGTGATAGCTGTAAGTATGAGGACCAGTTGTAACTACCACTGATTCAGCGCCGCTGTTAAGTTTGAATGATTGCTGAGCAAGTGGTTATTAAATGAGGACCACCTGTATTTCATATCAGCGAGTGTATGCTTCCACATGCCAGTTGCTACAGAATATGAACAAAAGGGTGTAGTTGAGCTTACATCTTTCTGTTGAATTTCTGATGGGCATCTAATAGCAATTGTGAGAACACAATGTTGGGCTGATTGATAGGCCTTTGGTCTGATCTAACATGGCTCCTCTTAATTGTCCTGTGCAGAAGATAATAGAGAATGCTGTTGGGAAATTCAAGAAGGAAATTTTAGTAATGAGTTTCTGTAGCCTCCACATGCAGGGGTGTACAAAAGGAGGTGCACAAAATATTTTTTTAATTTGAAATGTTTTGAATTGAAGACAAGTTGTTCTGACCTTGCCAGGAGTACCCTAACGTTGGTTTGAGATTGAAATAGTGTTGTTTTTAGCTCAAAGCACTTCTGATGAGGTTGGAGTGCTTCCTATGTGTGATGGAATGGACTTATGAAGGCCAGGCTCAGGGAGATAAGCGTGTTCTTAGCC